CACCCACACCCCACACTCGCACCCACACCCACACCCCACACTCGCACTCACACCCTCTCCATGTGCACCTTGATTTCACGTTTGTGCGGAGAAAAGTCAATACACACTTATGCGAGAAAAATATAATAAGCGTCTATTCATTCTATCGCAAAATGTATTCAGTTTTTAGAGCAGCGGCAATGTGTTTGACGATAGAAAGGAAGAGAAAAAAATTTACCAACTTAGTGAAATAAAAAAAAGCACTTTTGGTGATTTCATCACCAATTATTTCATTCTTTTTTTTGCTAGCTTCGTGTGAAGTAGGAAGTCGATTTATAAGTTGCATATATGGATTCATGCAAATGCCCCATTACGAATGTTATATTTGAAGATCCCGTTGTGGGTGATGATGGACATACATATGAACGAAAAGCAATTACAGAATGGTTAACAAGAAATGGAACAAGTCCAATCACACGGCAACCTATGAATATTGACTCATTGAAACCAAACTATACAGTGAAAAAAATGATTGAAGAATTGAGATCCGTATCACAGCCGCAACAGGCTCAGTATCGATTTGAACTCGATGTCGATATTGGAAAAACAAGAACGAGACCGTTGTTTCAAGGCTTTGGCAAATCAATCTATGAAGTTGAGTGGATTAATCGCAAGGGGCCACCCATTATTTTACTCAAAATTGATGGAGCCAAAGCCAATCGAGAAGCTTCATTTTACGTTCAACTCGGTTGTCATCCTAACATTGTTCGAACCTTTGGACTTGTTCAGTGTAATCCTGGTTCAGTTATGCTTCTTCAAGAATGTGCTCCACATGGAGATCTCTCTGAACTATTGCGAGAAAATGGATTCAAACCGACAGAACGAGTTTTAAGAAAAATATTTCAGCAGATATGTGATGCTATGATTTGTCTCGTAGACAATGGAATTACTCATGGAGATTTAGCCTGTCGTAATGTTCTCGTTTTTCGTTTAAATCCCATTGAACCTAAAGAGAATTTAGTAAAATTAACCGATTTTGGTTTAACAAGAGGAAGTACAGTTTATTCAATGATCGATAGTCCATCAATGTCAACAATGACAATCATTCCCGTGCGTTACGCTGCTCCTGAAATTCTCCAAAATCCTGATAGAATAAGTTATTCTGAAAAGTCCGATGTTTATTCAATGGGCGTTCTGATGTGGGAAGCTTGCTCTTATGGTCAATTACCTTATTCCTCTTTACATAGTGATGATGATGTTAGACAACGAAAATTAAATGATGCCAGACTTCCACACCCAACTTCATGCAGTGATCAGCTGTGGACCATTATTACTGAGTGTTGGCAGCAAGAATCTTCGAAGCGTCCAACCTTTGAAGTTTTAAAAGAATCATTGCTGATGCTTGAGACTGAATCCACACACAGGTACATTAGAATTCACTTTATATTTCAAAGATAATAGAATGACTAATCTATCTTTAGCCGACAGCAAAGGTCATCTCCAATCGTGAATCGAGTTCCAGGCATTCTTTCATTCACTGTTTTTTGCCTTTTATTCCTATATTTTTTTAAGAACAACCATTGAATCAAGCTCCAGATGATATTGTTTACATTCCGTGCGAATATTGTAAAGCGCTAATTGATTTGTCTAATTGGTCTATTCACATCGTAAAGAGTTTATAAAGAATTGATTTAATCTATTTTTTCTATTGTAGGACACTTGTCGTGAAAATGAAGAAAATCGACTAGCAAATCTCGCACAGTATTTTTTTCTCTTTTTCTTGTCTGAAATGAACTGTTTCTAAAACTTATAGAATAATAAGCCAGGAACCTATTACGGCAAAATTTCCATGTGAATACTGTCAACAATTATGTTCAGCAGATGAACTTGAAACGCACGAGGTAAGTACAACTATGAGATAGTCTATCCTAACCGCTTATCATTATTGTTCAACAGATGAACTGTCGACAAAATCTTCACAATCAAGTGCAGACCATATCGAAGAATCAGTTATCTAATCAAGATTCAAGAGCCAATCACAACAAGCCAAATGCGATTTACGAATTAACCAGGCGTGATCTAGTCCATATGAGACCTAGTCACTTTCAACAAAGAAGCCCAACTCCATTTAATTTTGTTCAAACATCTTCAAGCAACTCGAATCTAAACCGTGTCCAGACACCACCTAGTTTCAATCAAGCATCTTTGGATAACTCGAATCACATGGGATTTCAGCTACCACCTAGTTTCAATCCAACATCTTCAAGTAACTCGAATCTAAACAGTGTCCAGACACCACCTAGTTTCAATCAAGCATCTTTGGACAACTCAAACCACATGGGATTTCAGCCACTACCTAGTTTCAGTCCAACATCTTCAAGCAACTCGAATCTAAACTGTTTTCAGCCACCAGCTGGTTTCAATCAAACATCTTCAAACAGATCGAATCGGCGAAGAATATCCCCATCACACAATTTGATTCAAACACCTTCGAACAATTCGAATCAAATGGGATTTCAGCCACCACCTAGCTTCATTCAAGCATCTTCAAGTAATTTGAGTCTAAACTGTGTCCAGACACCACCTAGTTTCAGTCAAGCACTCTTGGACAACTCGAACCACATGGGATTTCAGCTACCACCTAGTTTCAATCCAACATCTTCAAGCAACTCGAATCTATACCGTATCCAGACACCACCTAGTTTCAATCAAGCATCTTTGGACAACTCGAATCACATGGGATTTCAGCCACCACCTAGCTTCATTCAAACATCTTCAAGCAACTCGAATCTAAACCGCTTTCACCCATCACTCAGTTTCATTCAAACACCTTCGAACAACTTGAATCAAATGGGATTTCCACCACTACCTAGCTTCATTCAAACATCTTCAAGTAACTCAAGTCTAAACCGTGTCCAGACACCACCTAGCTTCAATCAAGCATCTTTGGACTACTCGAACCAAATGGGTTTTCATCTAGCACCTAGTTTCAAGCAAACGTCTTTAAACAGATCGAACCAACAGAGAACACCATCAGCATCTGATTCTTCCGAAACATCTTCCGAGGAATCGACTTAACGCAAAGTTGTTTGGATGATATTGTTGCTGATGTGTTCGGCATTCATGAATGTTTGAGATTTCATGTGTGCTTGTTTAGATTTTCCATTCTGTCTAAATAGCCATAAGATAATATTTTTCTTTGTAAATTTGTCAGATTAGGAAGTGATCACATGTCACGTTGCAATTTTTTCCAGTCCTATATTCCTCTTCAGGCTGGCGACATCATAGTCAGTTATCACTATTTTATGTAATTTAAAATTGTTTATCAAATCTCTATCTGGACGGATGAATTTATAGTTTCACATATGATACGAATTACCTGTATTGGTAATAATTAGTTGATTTTTATTGTAGTTACTTTGACCTTCAGCATTCTACTGTCAAGCAAATCAGTCAATCCCATGACGACGATTTGCATTTTAGTGTTTTTAATACTAAATATCTAAACGAAAGGCAAAGTACCGAAGATTTTGATTATTTTAGGACAGTATTGTGTTTTGTACTTCATTGAAAACAACACTACTTTGATAGAGCTTGTACAGTAAAAAAAACACTTTTATTTTTTGTTACGCCATTCATTTGGGGGTGGGTGTGAGTGTGGATGTGGTTGGAGTGAGTGTAGAGGCGGGACTTTATCTTTACTTTACTAGTAACTAGATATTTACTTAGTTACTAATAAATAGTAACTACATATTTATTTAGTTACTAGTAACTAGCAACTATATATTTACTTAGTTACCAGTAACTAACGAGGGAACCCCACCAACTGATTAAAAACTTTAAGGCTCATATTTCAGTCATAAGTAGGACTTAGTGAGACTAGAACAACCCTAAAAGGATTTTCCTCGTGGGCCTATTTTGTTGAGATATGAATGTTTCAAGTTTAGGACTAAAAATATAGAAAAATTGCTTCTTGTGCTCGTACTACAGCACTAACATATATTAAGAAGAAGGTTTGTATTTGAAAGGCTCGTAAATAAAACGTCGAGCTGTTGAAAGAATCATGTTGTATTGTTCATCTGATGGTCTGACTGCTATGTAAAAGAAGTACCAACTATTAATACTTCAATACAATAGGATTATTTAAGGTATATGTTTCATATGCCATCATACATACATGAATTATTCGCATCTGTTGTCACCTTCGCACGTCTTGTCATTCGTGCTTTATCTTTCGTTTGCATCAGACTGATATGTTTCTTGCTGGGTTTCATCCAGAGTCAGAACAAGAATAAAAGGCAGAAGAGAGTCTTGTATAGAAATATTACAAATTTCTTTCCGTGCTACAGCATGTTCTAACGATCCAACCGAATGTTTTAGTTTTTCTATTTGTATATTTTGGAAAATAAATTTTTCTTTGATATTAGTATTGTAATTCAAGGGTGTGGGATGTGGGTGTGTCAAAAGTAGAATAACATTCACACCGCACATCTACACTCACCCTCATCCACGTTCACACCATCACTCATCCACCTCCACCTCCACCTCCACATCCACATCCACATCCACATCCACATCCACATCCACATCCTCACACGCATAGACCTATACCCACACCTCCACCCACACTCACACTCATCCACACCCACACCCCACTCACACCCATACCCCACTCACACCCATACCCGCATCCAGTCCACACCCACGATGCACATTCAATAAAGATACTTTTCAACATCAATTCGTTTACTGCACTCTTGAATAATTGCAATCGTTCTGGAATGAATCGTATTCTTTACTTATTTTTTTTCGAAATGTCTGCCATTGTGCAATAAAATAAAGAGGACATAATCCATGAGACTGAGTGACTGTTTGCATAACCACATTTCAAATGGGGATAATGGAGTTGTGTTTTTGCGCATCATACTTTGTTGTTGATTACAAACTTTTTTCGTACTGCAAGTTCATTTTGAAGGAGAAACTGTTGAAAGGACGATGTTGTTGTTTTTCGTATTTAAAATAGAGTACGCTAGATGAAAGAGTCTTGTCCGATGGAACAAGAAGTTTAATATTGATTTTCATCAAAAGTGCATTCATGACAGTTTTCAATTGTTCTTCATGTCGACCGAATGATGAATAAGAACAATCTTGAATGTCAACTTCTGCTCTCAGAAGCGAGCAAGTTTCTTTTTCTTAAATCGATTGGTTGTCTTGCTGATGATTAAGAAAAAAATCGAGAGAAAGAGAGAATACTTTAAAAACGAAAAAGTAATTTTTTTGTTTCGATTGAAGAAAAAACACGATGGCTATAAAAAGCCAGAGAAAAAACCGTGTGCACCGAGTAACAAAAGTTGAATTTTTTATTTCGTCCGTTCATTGATCTTCTCGCTGTTATTTCACGAATCCATTTTGTAACAGCAGTGTTCAGACTTCCGAAAAAGGAAATTTTGGAAGTTTCGGAAATTTCAAGCACTTGTGTTTTAAATTGTTTGGTATTTCCCAAAATTATATAATTTCCGAAATTTCTGAAATTTCCAAAATTCTATACGTAGCGAAATTTCCGAAATTACAGAAGTTTCTAAAACTTCTAAAATTTCTAATATTTCCAAAAGATTTTCATGTGCTCTGCTATGTAGTTATCGAGTTGATGGAAGCTTCGGAAATTTCTGTAATTTCCTTTTTTGGAAATCTGAACATACCTCTTTTGTAAGGTAAGATTTATTTTTCATTTGTGCAATATTATAATAAGTGATGGGTGTAGGTGTGGGTGTGAGTTCCAGTGTTTTGTATACTCACACCCACACCACCCACACCCACACCACCCACACCCACACCCACACTCCACACCCACACCCACACTCCACACCCACACCCACACTCCACACCCACACCCCACATCCACGCATCCAAACCCCAAACCTCAAACCCACACCGACACCCCACACCCACACCCACACCCACACCCACACCCACACCCACACCCACACCCACACCCATACCCACACCCATATCGACCAACATCCACCCGCCCACATCCACACCCACACCACCCACCCACACTCACATTACCCACCCACATCCACACCCACACCACCCACCCACACTCACATTACCCACCCACACCCACACCCGCCAAAAGGTTCCTTTAGAAACGGAGAAAATTATCTTCGCATAACTGATGATTTTATTCAATCCAAAAGTGAGGATCGAATCATTTGTAGATTGGCTTCAATCGATCGAATCATCGATGGAACAACAATTCAACTTGATTCAGACGAATGTTTACAAGCAGACATGATTGTATGCGCCATCGGTTGCATTCAACAATTTCCATTTCTATCTGAAAAATTTTGGCGACTACTGGGTCTGAAAACAAACCTTCCAACATCGGACAATGATGGCGATCTTGATCTTTACCGGCGAGTTGTACCGGTTGGAATACCTAATATTGCGTTTCGTTGGTTTTACTGCCAACGGCAATCAATGGTTACTAACTGAAGTATCTAGCCATTGGATTTGTGACTATTTTCTCGGTCGAATTAGTTTTCCAAGAAATGCATGATGAGATACAAACGACACGATCATTTATTCGTAAACAATTCAATCGCACATCGTTCTATCTTCAATATTATTGGTCAGAACCCATTGAAATTTATTTGAAGGATATGGGCCTGTCTTTACATAGAACAAATAATTGGATATCAGAATATTTTGGTCTTTATCGATCTGCACTATTCAAAACTATACATGAAGAACGTCGAGCTAGAGATAAATGATATCATCATCATCAGTGGTATTTAGGCTTTGGTCATACAATTATATTTTTGATTATTTTAATTTTTCAGTTTCTCTTCTTCATTATGTGACAATAAAAATTACAAATCAATAAGGGAGAAGCCGGCGGTCGTGTCTGGCCAATTGAGACGCGTACTTTCCATATGCTTTTAGTGGATAGAATATTTTTTGCATTGTCTAAAATAAAATAGGAAAAGTCACTTACAACGTTGTGTCTTTTCAGCTGAGAAGAAAACCATATACAGAGGAAATTTCAAATTTACCTTACTTTACTATTGTGAAGTACGCTGGCCAGCTACTCTCCACCATTCTCGCCGATTGGATTATCAGAAAGATGCAGATACTGTAACGTCTATTTCAAATAATGAGAATGGATAGTTTAAATTATAGAGCACACTTGAAATAGATCCTCAAACAAATAGCTTACTTGATTAACTTTTATTGCATCAGCTAAATATTGTGCTCCTACGTCAGTGATCTGATTTTGATCCAAATCCAGTACACATAGTGACTACAAAAAAGAGCAATAGAACGAACAATGTAGTCATTGACCTACCGTGTTCACTTTGAGAGCTTCGGCAAGATATTGTGCACCTATATCACCGATTTTATTGTCAGCTAAAACCAATTTGTATAATTTCTATAGGAAAAACACTGAACGTAATTATACATTGCCAAACAAACTTACTTTGTGAACTTTTAGCCCGTTGGCTATACCTTCAGCTCCAACATCACCAATATCATTTCCATGAAGATATAATACCCCAAGAGTCTGCAGGTAAAAATATGATATCGATAATTACATTGGGTAAGCGTACTTTGTTGAGTGCGAGCCCTTCACCAATGAACTGAGCGCCAATGTGTCCGATTCCGTTGCGTTCAAGGCGCAACGATCCAAGAGTCTAAAAAAACAACTATTTATGAATATTCTTGTTCATAGGCTTACTTACTTCATTTATTTTCAATGCATCTGCCATGTGTCGTGCACCCTCATCACCGAGTTGATTTTCACCCATCAACAAATGAGTAAGAAACTATGAAAACGACAAGAACTTTTGATTTGGCTAACCAAGTAGAAAACATTGCTTACTTTGTTTTCTTTTAAGCCATCTGCAAGATATTTTGCTCCACTAGGTCCAATTCGATCACTGTATAGATTCAACTGTGTGACACTCTATTTCAAAAACAGAATCGTCAATTTCAGATCATGTTTCATGTTTGATACGATTGCTATTCAGCATAAAATTGTACGGTTGAAAGAATCATTTCCTACTTACGTGACAGATTTTTAATTGATCGCCTATCGTTCGCATATCATCATCATCGAACATATTACAATGTAAGCCGAGCCCGGAGCATTGTCTTGTGTTAGAAAATACCTCTGCAAAGTCTATGGTCTTTTTCTTTGGAACTTGCACTTCGGTATAATCAGCCTGATCGGTCATTTCCTTTAATAAATCAATATTTAACATATAATTTGTGAATTTTCTAAATTTCTAACTTGGCTTTACTAAATACAACAGAAACAAATGCTAATCAACTAGGAAAAATATCAATAACTGGTAGACGTTGATCTACATTAAATAAATCACATTTTAGTAAATATTTTCCATAGCAAAATTCCATTCAATTCAAAACCTCTTTTACCCACAGGAAACGTACAAGAACAATGTTAAATTACAAGTGCTTGGAAAGTCTGAAAGATAACAGCTTTTATACACCTAAAGTTCCTTATCTCGAAGGCTGTTTACGAAATAATACTGATATCATGATGAAATTAAATTTATTTGGATAAGACCCTGCGTCTTTCATATGCAAACATGAGTATACAAGAAGCGAAAAGCGCATGTTAATATTGACACAAAATAGTACCTATCAACAGATAATGATGCATTTTCCAATTTCAAAATACACCACTGAGTGTATTGATGACCTAGACATGGTCAAGGCCATATATTATACGACAATTAGCTCACATGGGTCTGATATTCCATATGAAAACATTGCTTCAACATTTCAACGAATTTTATTTCTTTTGTATCATAATTAGAAATGGCATAATGCCAAAATACTCGTTGCGTATTTAAGTCCACTAAACCTGTGTGTACAAAATTTAAAACATTCAAAGATTTTAGCTAAAACCATTTTGGTTTTGAACAGCAGCACATTTTGTGACTCGGGGGTGCTAGCTGAAGTATCTAGCCATTTGATTTCAGATTGTTTTCTTACTACATTTGCTATTATTGATTGGAACTAATGGAAATTTCTTTGAAGGATATGGGCTTGACTTTGCATAGAACAAATAGTTCGATAAGCAGAGAAAGACTCTTTTACTGTATTCAAAGTACAAAAAAGCGAACAAGAAGTCAAAAAAGAGAAAACAGACGATCTAGTTGGATTGATTTACGCCGGAGATGTGCAAAAGCGGTGAACGGTAGTAATACTTTTTCAATTGTCTAAAGATAAATATCTTGGATGTGGGTGTGGGTGGGGTATGAATGTGAGTGTGGATATAGGTGTCGATGTGAGTTTTCATTTTCTGTGTACCCACACCATTTTTATTATTCTATGCCACCTCAATCAAATGTGACACACTTCTCAGTGGATACAGGGCAGATCAACATTGTCAGTTGAAGAAAAATGGTCTCAAATTAAAAATTGAATATCTCAATGACGATTTGAGCTATCGAAGTGCGCTTGGTGGCGAAAAATTCACCAATTGGTACACTTTTGAAATATGTATGTGAAATCAAAATTCGAAAAAATCGATTGAGCAGCATAGATTGTGGCTTAAGTGAAATGGCTCTTATGAAAAAGCCTTTTTTTTCAAATAATTTACGGAGGAAATAATGAATTTAATTTTTGAATTTCTAACCAAATTTTTTCACATCATAGCTTTAAAGTTATTTGATCTGGTTCTACATTTTCTAGATTTTAATACTCGATCAGAATCAACTTCTAAACCGAGTGTGGATGTTTGTGTGAATGACTGAGTTTGGTCCACGCTCATTAAAATAAAAATTTATTGTTAACAAATATAAAAGAATTGATTATCTCGATTATTTTACATAAGATACAACAAGTCTGAGACAAAAAAAGATATCAATTCATTTGAATAATACTAGTCATTTAGAAAAAAAATTATTTATAAATAATAAGATATTCTGCATATGCTTAATCATCCCGATATGTAACAAATATATGATCTCCATCAGTAGTAGAATCAAAACCCAGAAGTGGTATTTTCATGTTAGTATTTCCTCGAGTACGATTACTCACTATTACACTGACTACAAACATATACCTTTCACCATTTTGTGTACTTGGCTTAGCATAACTATGACTATAGGAAGCGTTTGCTGAAAAATAAGCTCCGTGTCCGTATACAGTGCCCACAAATAAATTCATTTTATTTTTATGAATAATTCACAAAGCAAACGTGAACTAACCGTTAACTCCAGAAAATGATCGATTAAGGGTGTGGGTGTGGGTGTAGATATGGGTGTCATCGAACACTTCTTCTATACCCACAACCATACCCACCCACACCCACACCCAGATCCAGATCCACACCCCACACCCCACACCCAGACTCAGACCCACACCCCACACACCCAGATCCAGACCCAGATCCACACCCCACACCCCACACCCCACAAACCCAGACCCACCCACACACCCAGACCCATACGCACACGCACACCCACACCCATACCTACATCCACATCCATACCCACACACTCACACCGCCGATAATAACGCAAAACGTCTCCTGTCCTTTCTACAAAATTTGATAATATTATTAAAACATATTGTCCTATTCATTGAGATGAAAGCAGCCCCTTTTTTCACAGTTGTATGAAAGGATACTGTGCGAAGCACACTCATACGTTAAGTGCGTAACTAATAGAAAAACGAATTGTAAAATAACTCATTAGCTTCATACTTTTTATTTACCATCCAATAAAAAAGCATGACTTTTCTTATCATAGTTAAGCAAAGTATGTTTTTCATTATGGAGCAAGTAAAATTTGATATTAAGTATGTAGCATATATGATGACTTACCCAGCACACATGCTAACGAAATCTTTGATTCTTCGTTAATTGGTCTGATGTAGAATTGGATGTAGGAATTCAAAGAAGAAGACAGTGGAAAACTGATTGAATGACTCAGAAAAGATTGTTCTTGAATCACATTTTGTTCTTTTTCTTCGATGACGAATAAACATCGAGTTTAATTATCATTTTTAATAGCAGGTAGTCGTAAATATGTCACGACTAGATAAGTGAATGAGAAAACAACACAGCTCTATAATAATTACTCATCGAATATGTAAATACATATAAGTATGTACTTTTCTAGTTTGTACGTTGACAGAATCTTTTAAAAACTAAGCATAATTCAACTGCAATTGAGTCCTGACTTTTATTATGTAATAAAACTATGTTTATTGCAAAAATTATAATTTGTTTCTTTTGTTTATTTTATAGCAAACAATTAGATTTCTATTGTGAACGAATATCATAACAAGAGTCCAATGAGTGTTCATATCGTATCATACAATCTATTAGTACCAGTTCTTGCTGAAAAACCAAAATACTTTTATAAATGCAATCCAAAATATATCGATAGAAATTATCGATTGCACTTGATTCAATCTGAATTGCAGCGAGAAATGACTCATCACACAAATACAATAATTTGTTTACAAGAACTTTGTCGGACAACGGTACCGTTACTTAAACAGTTTTTTCATCAACGAAATTACACATTGATTCATAAACACTACGGCGAAAAATTTAATGACTATATGGGTGTTGGTATCGCTATACCAAAGTCTATGAAGCCGAGTTCCGTCACGTTTATCAAGATTGGTGATAAAATAAGAGCTCAGTTAAGTCTGAGAGGAACAGATAGTTCGGCAAGACGGAATAGACATCATCAACATCCAAGAGACGAATCTTTGCATGCATCGTCTGATTCTTGGGGTATTGCCATGAATAAAAAAAACATATTGATATTCTTACAAGTTGTAATTCATGGAATTCTATTATGCATCGGTACATATCACATGCCTTGTATGTACAAAAATCCTGATGTCATGTTCATACATGCATCAATGGTAAAAGATCTAATTTTTGGATTAGCAAATGGACATAATATGATTTTAGCAGGTGACTTCAATATGCAACCTATTGACAGTTATTATCGTGCAATTACTGAACGTGGTTACGCCTATCGTCATCTACCAAAATCAAATATATATGAAGTTCGTTATCGACCTGATGCTAAACATGTATTAAGAAGTGCCTATATGGAAAAAAATGGAGCTGAACCGCTTTTTACAACGTTTTCGTCCACTCCAGATAGTCCTGACTTTTGCACCACTATGGACTACATATTTTTTCATGGTCGTCTTGTAGTAGATAAAGTGCTACGATTGCCAGATTATATAACGAGTGAATCTTATCCTGATGCAACACATCCTTCTGATCATTTGATGATCGCAGCCACATTTCGATTCACCTGAACAGAGCTGTGCATAGCTTTCGTCTTCTCTACTTCGTAGACAACGATCAACTGTTGCATATTTTTAGAGCACCGGCAAAAAGTCATTTTTTTTTATTGAAAACTTGATATAAATATAAAACAGACACAAGAATTCCCATCGCTACTCAAGAAAAAGACAAAGAGGTTGAGGGTGAGTGCAGTTGGCTGAGATACGGAGTTTGCTTCTGCTGAAGGACTCATCAGAGACTGTAACTTGGTAATAGTGAGCTCTTTCAAAATGATTTTACTGTATCCAAAAGAAAATTTTCTATCAGAGAAGAATTCAAAAGGTTGAAGAAAAGGAAGTGAATCAGTGATCGGTAAACAACACTGTATTGCGTAGGTAAAGAAAAAAAAGTACGTACTTTCTATTATACTAAAGCCATCTGAAGTGTTTGCGAGAAAAAAAAGTACATTTCGAAGATTGGTCGTGACACACCAAGTCGAAGAACCTATATACATAAATCGCAACTGTTTTATTTGCGACATTATATTTCAAACATAAGCATTAGTTTGGACATTGACTGTGAGAGCAGCAATGACAAAATTCGAAACAGTGATTATACCTTGGAGAGATATTGAATACATCATCGAACGACTGGAAAAGCATGAAAAAATGACTGATGAAGAAGCTGTAAAATATGTTTAAGAACTGGCTCATTTTTATTCTGCAATCAAATATGGAAAGAGAGGATGTCCATCAGATATGGTTGACAAAGCTTGGCATGCGCATATTCTTAATACTCCAATATATATGGAATTCACACAAGCCGCATTCGGTAGATTCATTCATCATATACCTTACTGATCGGGTCATCAAAGTGATGAAACTGAAGATGATATTTATGAATATTCAATAAATCAGTTCGGAGCTAATCATGTAAATATCGCCATACGGAATCGAGAAGAGGCAAACTGCGCTTTCAGCGAACATTCTAGCGATGCACCACGCTCGAAATATTGCCAAAACAACATTCGTTCACGCCGAAATTGTTATTCAGTAAAGTAAACTTTTGAAGATGCGCTTCGGCTATTACTTGAATGCAAGACATTTTCTTTCCTACTACTTCTTTTCACACATAATATTCTCATTAAAAACATGATTTGTCTAAAAATGTAATGAGATTACAATCTTGATCATTCTGAAAATTAACAGTCACTCAAGTGCGAGATTTATGAGTTTTGTACGTATACGTAGGTGGTTAGGAAGTGTTCTTCTCGACAGTGCGGAATTTGAACCACTTATGAACTATTCACTATGAGAAAAATACCTACAATACATCAGAGAAATTCTTTATAGCCTGAGTGCATTGTGGTTATCATAAAAATATTAATACCCACTAGAACTGTGTAGATCAGAGTGAAATGATAGAGATATTATTATATCGATTTCCACGTCTATCTTCTGCGAAAAAGAAGGTTAAAAACGGAAAATGTTGGGTATGGATGTGGGTGTGGGTGTGAATATTATTATTCTATTAGACAAAAGTATCCTCTCACAACACACACACCCACACCCTCTTAGGAAATCTCGACAACGAGTCATACCTGCAGTGATAGAAATACATACATCAAATCATCGAAGACGACAACGTTTAGAATTGAAACGTAACAAGATTATCATCGTAGAAGTGATTTTGAATATCTTAGTTTGTTCATTACGTCTTGGCTCATATAGCTACAATGTCATCTGCACAGCGGTCTCGGTAGTAACAGTGAATGATCGTGCCGCAACAATGTTTGCTTTAGCAATAGGTGGTTCATTGTATTTTTTAATTTTGCTGTACCATTCTATGCATCAATGCTCACCAGTAAATTCTTTCGTAATGCATTTTATGAAAGAATTCTTTTCTTCTATCAGTACTATGTGAGACAATTGATACAAAGAAATTTATTGCAGTAACTAATACCATTATGAATGAATTAGATGAGCATTAATAACTTTATTTTTCGTTGAATTTTATTCTTTTTCTTTTTTCGCTTTTTTCCTATTCGACATTTTTGTTTTTGATATTTTCCACCAAACCCAATATATCTATACTGGGTATGAATGTGGGTTAAACAAAGGAGAAGATAACTACCCCACCCTCAAGAAATTTTCTATAACCAATTTACTAGAATTACTATCTTTGTCTCAAAATAGAAGTCATATTCAAAAGTGTCATATTATGCGCCAAAAAAAATCATCCATTTATTCAAACAGAAATAAACTAAATCATTGAATACAAAAAAAAATGAATAGTTACTGATTATTCTGTGTAAGCTTTTGTTCGACAATAACCCATCGTTTTGTAATTATTTCAGCAACTTTGTCATTGTTTAGTCGTGTAGCATCCAGAGGAAAGTCACTTTCTTTAAGATCTAATTTCTCCATATCATAATCACTGAGCTTGACGAAAAGGAATTGTAGAGGGTCATTATTCTTTCCTGCCGGACTATACTTGTTAAATATTTCTCGCCATTCCATCATGCAGTGATCTGATTCTATATATGACGATGATAAAAAGACAACAGCCAAATGTGCTCGATTATAAATAGTGCATACATATTTTCGACCGTCAAGTCGACAAATTTCATGTTGAAAATCTTGATCGATAAAAACAGGATGAGGACATTCAGGTGTCTTTACACTATCCTTTACTTTTTCAGTAATTTCAAAAACACGTTCTCGATCATCTGATGAGTACGAAATTGCTATTTTCATGGGCTCTTCTGTTACACACACAGGTGTTCGTTTAATTGGTACAACTGTAATCGATGATGGTGAAGATGTGGTTGTCACTACAATGTGGGACAGATATATAAATCAAATATATACATAGAAATAATATTGAAATATTACCTGTTGTTACTGGAACAGGTCCGCAAGTTTGATGAGTGTCAATAGCGTTTCTGCTAACAAATGTTGCATCGACTCCTTCTGTTATTTAAAATAAAAACAAAACACTGTTGTTCACAACTAAATGTTTGTAAAATTTGTCTACCTTCAGCAAGAGATCTCCGGATATTTCTCATGTCGTCGTCAGATACTTGGTTACTAAAACTCGATGCGGTATCTGGAACAGGATCTTGCTCATCAATGTGTTCATTATTCATTTCTTCTTTATTGTTCGAAATCGGTTCACATATAGATTCTAAATATAGATAAGTTCAATCATTTGTACAATTTACTTCGTATAGATTGGTAAAAATATCTATTTGTTTTCTTTGCTGATAAAAATTCAACTGACCTTTCATCTTGGTTGTGGTCGAATTGTTATTGTTCGTTAATACATCAGGATTAACATCATCATTGTTCGTACTTGACAATATCGTGCATGTTTGTGATGATGAAGAAGTAGTGATTACATTGTCTGTTGTTTCCAAATTAGAACTAATTAATTTCGTAGCAAGAACAAGTACAATCGCACAAACAAATACACTGGAATTTGATAGTATCCAAATAATAATAAGTAGAGTAAGTATAAGAAATGTAGGGAAATCTTTATTATTCTGATTATTCCGTCTCTTTTGGGTTTTGTCTTGAAAATTAAGCAGATTCATAGTATTGTCAGCCATAATGTAAAGAAGATTTTGATATTGTTCTAAAAATATACATATGTATAATGAAAACTTATCTTAATAATAAGTACGTTGTAATATACCTTCTATTATACCAAAAATAAGATGAATGTTTTATGTAATATTCAAATGAATAAAAAGCATGCTTTATATGTAGTTGATACGTTGTGATGAAATTACTTTCATTTTCTAGGCAAGAAATTTCCATTTATGCATTCAACGATATGCATTTCTATTAAATATTCTTTCATAGAAAGAAAAAAACTCAGACAAAAACAAGTGAAGTTTAATTTACGGCTTTAATCATGGGACAGAATTGTTTTATTCTTTTTCTATCATCAAATAAAACGGCGCACAGCATTTCTTTTCTTGACTTCTTAAGATAATATTTAACAACATGTTGTAATCATGTTGACGAAAAAACCCGAATAAATCAAAACTAGTAAAGAATTCATCAAATGAAAAGCATGTTTAAAAGTTGTGTGAAGAATCCAATAAGAAATGAAATACTCTGATTTGAATATTATTTCGACTGATATCGACACCTTCTAGATTTTAACATAGTATATTAAATTGAATAATTGTATTATAGATGATCAATTTGAGTATCTCACTATTTGTGTATTTCTGATGAATTTTGCGTTTTTATATCTGAAACATATATTGAGATTACAATTTGCCTGTCCAACATAAGAGTTATTTCTCCATAAAAGAAGTGCAAATATTTGATCTTTACTTTTTGTTTTTCATACCCGACGTGAAATATCATGTATCAATAAGAACACACTCAGACAAATAAAAATAACTAAAGTCTTATGTTCTTCAACGCATTTAAATCCAACAAAAGCTGAACGTGATATGATAAATCGTATGAAACTGAAAAGAATGAATAGATATAATCTTAAGGGTGCGAGTATGAAATGCAAGTGTAAGGCTGCACAAAAGACACCTTCACTCTATATGCTGCAATGACTCATAGGTATTGTCGTCAATGTGTAATGACAGGTTATCTTTTTCATGTGTATCGTGTTTAGATAAAAGATTTGTTCGTGGGTATTTTATTATTTGCAATGCTTGGATTTTACATCCCAAGTAAAATAGTCAGGTACGAGATGAGAGTGTGGGTGTGGGGTGTGGGTGTGGGTATGGGTGTAGGTGAGTGTGGGGTGTGGGTGTAGGTGAGTGTGAGTGTGTGTGAATATTATTCTTCTATTAGACAAAAATACCCCCTCGCACTGCACACCCCGGATCCACACCCACACCCTCCCATCCACCCACACGCACACCCAGAAGATTTTCAATCTCATAGGTTTCCGAACATTCGAAAACCGTTCGCTTTTTTGAGAATACTAATTTCGATGCCCTCAAAGTATTCTGGATTACCCTTATTTTTGTATTGAAAACCTCATTAGTATTTTA